CGTCTATTAACTGTATTCTATGTCTAACCATTTTATTGTGTCCAATATCAAGGTCATCTTTGGACATAATATCAGCATATTTTTGTACAAGTTGTTTTCCTTTCTGTATCTGTGTCTGAGTAAGACCATCTGTACACATAGTTATTCCTTCTATGACTTCTGTGTTATCTTTTTGATGTTGTTCATCGTCATATCGTTCAATATTTTCAATATGGACTGGTTGAAGTTCACATAAAACACTGTTTGGTGAAACTGTAACGGTCCTTGTCGAAGGATTTGAAATAAGTACATTTGTTGTTCCAAAAGCATGTTTACTGTAGCTATAAGAAGTTATCGCAGGTGTAATATCTAAGTCAAGTGGGATAGATGATCTTTGTGTTGGCTGCAGTAGAGCACAAACCGGTTGGTATGGCACTTTCTTGTCTAAATAGCCAGATATTACAACTTCAGAATTGGTTTCTATTGTAATTCGTTCTTTTTCAGCAGACTTTATAACAGCTAGTTTATTATTCTGTCTTTGCAGATTTTTTTCTCTAAGTGTCAAGCATCTTAGGGTCATGTATACTGGTGTAAATAATTCGGCCTGCTGCAGGTATCTTTCGCCATATCTTTTCTGTAGAATTTCCATAAAAGAAGACAAAATATTAGTACCTATCAAAACTGGAACATTGATATTGTATTTACTGTCAGGAACGATAAGGAAAAGGCAATTGTTCAGTGTATTGTCCTCATTCTGTTTACTTCTTGATCCTAAGATGTTCATAATTGCTTCAATAAAACCTTCATAAGGGAGTTCTTGACCATCTGCACATTCAATTTTTAAGATTTCTTGAACTGGATGGATAGGTATTTCAAAGAAATGTTTATCATAAAATGATCTACTTATTATGGAAACTGATGAACCGGTATCTAAAAGAGCTATTGTAGTAACTGAACCAATAATTATCTGAACTTCATTTGATTTTCCAACTAAATCTGTTAGGTAATTAGGATTATTGGAGCGCCCAAAACGACGACCAAACATACGCCCCGTTATGCTGATCCCTTCCTGTTTAAAGAATTTCTACTGTGGTCTAATCGATCTCTACATCCTATTCTCATATGTCCCTTTTGACCACAACGCCGGCAAACTACTTCCTCATTTTCATTCCTGTTAAATCTAGGTTGTTGTTCCTGATTGACGTTATTTTCATATGTATTCTCAAATTGTCTCTGACTCTGTTGCCCAAATTGTCTTTGACCCCGGTGTCCTTGAAATTTGGTTTGTTGTGAATTTCCTTCATTATTTCTTGCTCTCCAGTTATTACTGGACATGGAAAATAATAAATAATAAAATATATGTACATTGCAAATAAATAATTTCAATATATAAATGACCCTATCACAGTTTTTATCAGAGAAAAGTATTCAGTATTGATGATAATCTGTTCTATTAATATCTGTCGATCATATATGAACCAGTGGGAAATCTAGTGACAAAATATTACCTCCCCTGTAAACACTGAAAACTAGATCTTCTCAATGTTTGTCCCATTTTAGCAAAGACGCTATCAATTATGGATTCACGGAAAAACGTTCTGGTAAGTAGTAAAAATAGAAATAAATTGAAATAAAAAAAAACTTCTACTCAATATTATCATTTTCCTCCTTAAGTAGCAAACGACGAGTGCAGCCGGCTTAAGATGTTTGCAGTAAAACTGGTTTAAAATGTTATTATGCGAATAAATTCCTGGAGTACCAACTTCGATTATTTTTTTCTGTCTGTATACTTCTCTGGAACATACTAATTATTCGTATATATATATACAGCTAAATCAGAGAAAGTCATTGAAAAAAATTCAAAGGAATCGACTGATATGCAGCAAAGATTGGCACTTTTGAATTTAAGTTACTAAGCAAAATCAAACATACTTTATCTCGATGTAAACATTGAATGTGAATAGATGGAGAAGACCGTAAACAGTCAGGATTCTACTTCGTCAAAATTATCTCCCCATTACGCCACTTAATTTTTATAATCGTAAAAATGGAAGCCATTGTAGTGATGACGCGCTGTCATTATAGCTCTTGAAAACCGATAAATATATCCACATAGCATACTTACGATCCTTATATGCAAGTTGTATTTTAAAATATAAACGTATCTACTAGCTATTAAGCATCATTTAATGCACTTTTATGCATCTGATCAACTTAAAACTTTTATCTGATCGGTTGTCAGGTGGAATTTTCGAAAGTTCAAAAATATTAAAAAAAATTCTAATTAAATATTTCGTGGAAGGGCAGACTAAAAGTTTTCAGAGGTTGAAGACTAATTATCCTAGATAAAACACACAAAAAATGAAGTTTTTTTGAAGATATGCATTTTTGAGATCCAACTGAAAAGTCTGTCGTCAAGTACTTTTAGTAAAAATTTGTTATTCGAACACACCAATTCTGCTGTTATGACTCACTGGAAAGGTATTTCATTTGACCCATATATTTTATTTTTTAGAACTGTAAATTTTTAATGTTATTATATCAACCTAGAGCTTCAAAATATAAAATTAATAGAATCTGAAGCGAGGTGATGTGTGAAATATTTTTCTTTTATACGTTTTGAAGTCATAATAGTCAACTCAAACACGCCTAAACAAAAAAGGTGTACTCGACTTTCTCTTTTTGATGAAATTATTGCCCATTTTCGGGATTTTTTTCCAAAAAACTGTCATCGGGGGAAGAGATGCAATTACTGCTTTAAAAGGGTCAATCTGTTATCTTTCTTTGGAATTTTTTTCGGCGGAATTAATGCTTATGCACAAAAAAGATCCAACTGTATTTGCAACTTCCACAATCGACTGTTTTGTGAAAATTTTTCAATTTTAAAAGTTTACAAATATCTCGAAGCTCCATACTATTATTCTTGTAAAAAAAACACGTATGTAAGATGCATAAAATCCTAATTTATGCACCTTTATTAAACTTTTAAAGCCCATAGAAACAGATGTTAACAATTAAATATACCAATTTTTCTTTTTCACCTTCTCTAACAAAGAGTTCCATTTCTTTTGTTTAATTTCAACTGGGTTTCCGCCTGGTAAATACTTGTACAAAACTCGAGAACTTTTCTTAAAATTGTATACAAAATAGTAGAAAGATACATACTTTATAAAAATAGTTATCTTTAATTTTTTAACCTGCACAGACAAACCTTTAAATGTTTATATTCACGAAAAGACAATAGTTCTCTATTGAATGTACATGTGACAAGAGCAGACCGGTGTGCTCGATAACTCAGGTGTGAAAAATAATCATACTTTTGGAAATTGTTACATGCTAAGGAGTTTTTGGAACACTTAGAAAATTAATGACCCGAAAGATCTTTCGATTTTTTATGTACATGATTTTTTCCAATTTTTTTTATCAATATGCAGCAAAGATTGGCAGTTTTTAAATTTCAGTTTCACAAGCTTCTAAAGCAATTATCTCGATAAATACTGAACATAAAACATCGTGTATTTGCATGTATATTTCTAATAACACAGTTTAATAAATAATTTCTTTAAAATATACAATTATTATTTAGAAATAACTTTTGATCAGTATCGTTACCGGTTTTGTTTTATTATTGACTTTCTCGACTCTATCATAAGAAGAGTGAATTTTCGTTCACTGGATATCCCACTGGAACATGATTGTTTTTTTAGCATTAAACATTCTTTGTAATATCCAAATCTTCAGATTTTATCGTATGTTTTTGTAAAGAATCATGCAAATATTTTTTTAGTAGTTTATAAAATATGTTTCTCGTACATACATGTATACTAGCAATCCTACCAATCATTTTGTAATAATGCATGGATACTAGTATATATTGGGAATTATTTTAACAGACAAATGATTGAAGCGGGTGTTACTTTTTTAGGAAGCGAATTTCAAAACGATCTAGGAAAGTTGCCATAAATCATATTTTTATAAAATGACAAATTAAGCTTGTGTAAAAATGCAAAAAATATTACTGTAAAAGTGGAACTCTTCTCGATGGATTCCAATGATCTTTTGTTCCATGGTAAATCATCAGGAACGAGAAAATATTGTCAAATCAAGAAATAAACCACCAAGGTTTGATTCCAATTGACAAACGTTACATTTTTATCATGCATTATACAAACGTTAGAATAACAGACTTGTGAGTTGATCCCTTCTTCAATCTGGAACCTGTGAATTGTTTTACATAATTATATAGTTTCATTATAATATTATGAATAGTACAGGATAGTTAAGAAATGAGGTTTGTAATAGTGTATGCCTATACAAACTGTCAATTATAAATATAGTAGTGATATAGATCTAGATCATTATGTACATTTTACTATTCCCCTGATGGAAAGATGAATGCTCAAAAACATCTTAACTATTCCGTATGTTCGTGTGTCTGTCGTCAGGAGCTTCCCCGGTGATTGTTTTCAGTCATATCTTATTTTTGTTGTCCCTTAATGCATTTCTTGTTAATGGCAGATCTTTATGTGTGGATTCATTATTATTCGTGGGACACCAATGTTCGTGGATTTTGTGGGTAAACGTAAACCACGAATTTAAATGTTCAACGAAGTAAAGATTTGTAATAGGCTGGTATGCATATTTCGGCAAAACCACAAAATCAAATATCCACGAAAATACAATTTTCCATCAATCGACGAAAATTGGTTCCCTCGAAAATAAATGAATCCACAGTAATATCTGTTGAATTTATACACGAATTTTCTAGACTAAGTCGATTTAAAGTCTGACGTATTATATAGTAATTTGTCTTTTGTTAAAAACTGTATGTTTACCTATAGATATGCTCTAGATTTCTGGCGCCTTTGAATTTTTGTCTCATTTTCATATACTAGATATTTCCTATAATTTACCTTCCAAATAATAATGAACATAAAGATAATAATTTTGTTATATGGCAGCCCCTAAGACAACTGTTGATAAGAGACACAAGGGAAGAGGCGGTATTTAGTATAAAGTAAGACTTTTTCATGATTTATTATTCACTAAAACAAATAAGCACTTGTTAACAACAAAATGAGATTCTACTGGTTCATCATAACAATACAATAAAATATAACAAAACAAAGCTTCACACAATAAAACACAGCAAGAGAAACTCTGCTTGATAAAATAATGTTCAAAAATCTAATAAATGTATTCTACCTCGGTGCATGGTCATACAGTACTACAAACAGAGACAGTAGTTCACTATTTCTGGTCTATTCAAGCAAGTTATTTTAAACAAGAATATGCGTCCATGGGTTCAAATGTCCAGCTTCAACTGTCATTTTCCTTGTTCGGCGAACCAAAAGGAATCAGGAACATATCTGTAATTTGGCATTTATATTAAAATAAATTGCTTCGCCGAGCGCAGCTGGATACGACCGCAGAGGTCCAACCCTGAACAGTTGGGGCAAAAATGGACACAATATTCGCACTTGATACAGGTCTGAATTTGGATTGTAATTCAATATTTTACACATAATAGGTTTCTGACACAGAATAACTGTAGTCAAAGAACTAAGAATTGGTTATATGATTTGAATTTATATTAATTTTTTTGCTTTTGTGCATTACACTATGCTGTTGCGAATTGACCTTCCCACCCCCCTTTTTAAAAAAAAAAAAATTTGAAGGATTTTCTTTTTGATTTCTGAAATCTTGTGGAGAAAAAAATTGTCCCCCCCTCAGTCATGGTCATAATTTCAATTGAAATTTCCAATGGAGTTTGCAACCATAATAACCCATTTAAATACATCATAAAAGTCTTAAAATAGAAAATGACATACATAATCATAGCTAAAATTAATTTACCTTAATCAGTATTTTTAAAATTATTAAAATAGTAACTTCTAAAAATGAATTGACAGCTAATCACCTCAAGACAATACAAAAAATCTGTATACATAATTTAAAAGCAGTGTAAGGGAGGTAATTCAAAGTTGTGCTTGAATTACCTCCCTTACACTGTAATTTGTACTTCAGTAATTGTCCATTAACCAGGACACCTTTGTTTTTTCTCACTTTTTTGCCCCTAATTCCTAAACAGTTTGAGCCATAACCCCCAAAAGCCAATCCTAACCATCCCTTTGGGGTATGGAAACTTGTGGTATAATTTCAGAGTGATCCATACATTGTTCCACAAGTTATTGTCATGAAACTAGAAAATGCTTATTTTGGCCCATTTGAGTCCCCTAATTCCTTAACTGTTGGGACCATAACCCATAAAATCAATCCCAACCTTCCTTTTGTGGTTATAAACCTTATGTTTAAATTCCATAGATTTCTATTCATTAATACTAAAGTTATTGTTAAAAAACCAAATGTTTTCGGATGAAGACGACGACGACAACGTGATACCAATATACGACCGCAAAATTTTTTATATTTAAAAATCACATCATAATGAATATGTGTACTAAATTTCAAGTTGATGTCACCACAACTTATGGTAAACTACCTTAGTGAAACCTTCAACCTGAGAATGTACTGTTTTCACACTATCACATTTACAGGTTCAGTGATCTTTGAAATTTGGGTCAAAATCGTAATTTGTCATATAATTTAAAATGTTCACATCATGATAACATGTGTACTAAATTGGTGTGACTAAAACTTCATTGTAAACTACCTTGGCCAAAAACCTGAAGAGGGAGAGACTAACACACCAACATGAAAACATAATGCCCCTTCTGTCATAGGGGGCCATAAAAATTGGCATTGAAACACTTGAACATAACAAATTAGGAATGTGTCAGGAGAAACCTGTACATCTAATGACAGACATATAAAAAATTGTATCTAACCTTCCATACCAAAGTTGTTGTGTTGATGTTAATTTTTGAAATTCTTATATTTGCAAAAAGAAGCATTATTCATGTTAAATGTTCATCAGGTACACATAACTGTTTTTAGTTCTGTAAACTTTAAAATTGTATTTTTTTTCATTTTAAGTTGCAAAGAATAATTGGTAGGATGTTAATACTGAATATCAAAATGACGAAAAGGATAACAGATATCTTTTTGTTTCCCCAAATCCTTGAGTTGAACAGCTGTTAGGAAGGATAACAAACTACATTGCACATGCTCTCTAAAGGGAAATAATCCAGATTAATTCAATCTAGTGGTAAGAACAGCAACATTGCAACTGACATATAATTACAAACAATATCTTATCATAAACAGCAATTGTCCTTACAAGTGAATTTAAAAATATGAATACAACAATTGGTGCATGGTATCTTCTGAAATCTTCAGCATGGCATTTTGAAAACACTTACAACAGCTTTATTGCACATTAATATGTAAATACAATAACAAGGCACGTACAATTATTTTATGTATAAATATTTTGCATGCATCATCAAAAACATTTACTACTTTATAATCTTCTAAAATACACATTAATTATCACAAAGCCATGAAAGTACAGTAACCTTGATAAAAATTAACAAGCAAATTGAAAAATTTTACCATTGTATACACCATAAATGAATGATAAATAAAATGCCTTTTTTCCATGGTAAAAATTTAAATAATTCAACATAAAATGTTTAATCTGATGTTTACAAATTTGACAAGGGAAGTAGGTATATCACAATGCCACTTTTATGGCCCTTTGAATTTGAAATTCAAGAAGTATTATAAATCCTTCAAATAACAACCTTCAGATGTATCAAATACATTAGTCTTGTCAGGTATCAGTTTTTATATTCTTAAAATTTGTCTTACATACTTGCTTTAAGGGCTTCAAACTACTTAAAATTCATGCAAAACTTCAATATCGGCCAAAATAGCCTCATTTTGAGATCTTCATATTTATATTTAGATGGCTCCTTCTTTCTGTATCATTTGCAAGTTGTGAGTGGTGATATATTGTTCAATGTACTTTTGTTCATTTAGTAAGAATGAACATAGTCAATGCATTTATAAAAGCTGAGGATTGTTCAGGGCTGTAGGTTTTCAATGAAAAGTCAAGGGTTGCATATTACACTAAATATATAGCTAAGTTACCTATTTCTGAATAAACGTTTCTTATTTTATTTAAATAACTGATTTATCATGTTTACAACAACAAAAAGATAAATCAGTCACAAATTTCTGAATATATGTTTTTTATTTTGTTTAAAAAATTGATTTCTCATTTTAACAACAACAACAACAAAATTAAGAAAACAAAAAGCAACACATGAAATTAACAAATTTTCTGATAAAACTATTTGTATATAGAGATATACATGTATTAATGTCTGCAGCTGACAGAATTTTGGGAGAAAGTCATTTCACCTTATACGAAAAATAAGATGCTGAATAATTACAAATTCAACAAATTCTGTTTTACAAAAATTATTTGGACTGTTTGTAATGTCTTATGATTTCTTTCTCATCATTTATAACATTTATCTTTTCAAAAACTTTAGAATTTAAAAAATTAAGGAAACACAGGAAAATGTATAATGAAAGAGACAAAAAGACCTGATATTTGATGTATGGAAAGAATAACAAACAGAAAAATTATTATTTATAAAAACAGTGTTACGTTATAAACTAAAAATATAAATAAACAAAAAATTATAAAAATCAAATGTAAAATTTATGTTGATCCTTAAAGCTTTAGGATCAAGTATCACATGAATTAATATAATGCATATTCATGAATGAAATGAGATTCTTATCTCCATTTTACTGAAGTTTACTGACATATCTATAAGGAATTAAATAATCATTTCTTTTATAAATGGCTACACAAAGAACCTAAGAATCACATGATATCACTGTTGCAAATGATGTTTTTCTTTAAGGGTTGGAATACATTTGACTCAATAATGAATCAGCAAATAGTAGCAACTAAAATCTATATAAGGATACAATTTCACCCCTGACTTGGCAACTTTAGTCAAATATTCAACAGATTCTTCTGTGCTATTAACTCTTCCTATAGTTCTCAATAAGTGTCTTCAAGCCTAACAAAATAATATCACACATATTAAATTTTTGAACCTCTATATCTAAAATTGTTTTAATTTTTTTCTAGACTTGGAAACTTTTCAGTTTAATATAAATGTCTTAAATGCTTTTGCTGACTATTGAAACACCAAAATCAATGTCACCAAAAATTAAGAAATGGATGCACAGCTTGATGTCAGTTGAAAAGAAAAAGCAAATAGGCTGGATTCTATTGAGAGGTAGAGAAGAAGATGCAGATTAGAGATATGTGTGACAGGGATGGGGTAATCGTAATCTGTAATCATAATCGATTGTAATTGATTACATTTTTTCCAGTAATCGACAGTAATCTGTAATCAAAGACATTTTCGATTACATGTAATCGTAATTTAATCGATTACAGCAAAAATTGTGATGTAATCATCGATTACTTTTCGATTACATTTCGATTACTTTAGTAAAATAGTTTGATGAAATATAACCTATTCTAAATGAAAGTATGTATGTATTCATCACTTTAAAGTACAGATAAAACAGAATGTATTAATATGACTTAAGAGTTTATCAACTGCTTTATATCTATCTATTGTCTCAAGCTGCATTATGATCAACCAGATCCCTACCAAATTTTACTTTATATCTAGCTTTTGAAAAATAAATGGATTTATGTGCTTGTCAATAATTCAAGACCTTATAAAATAAGAAATGAGTCTTAAGTTAAGTACTGTACTACATTAAAGTAGTATGCTTATTTTTATTCAAATTCTTTAAAGCATAATTTTAAATAAGAGTTGGAATTTTAGATTAGAATAGATAATCAGTTGATTCCTTATAATGTTATAATATAAAAATTAAGAAAGTACACAAAATCCTTTCGACAATGAAATATTGGCTATGCATTGAAATTCTTTTGGAGAAATAGATACATGTATCCCATTTTGACAATATAAATATATATTGTTTATAATTTGATTAGAGAATAAAAAAATCTAAACAAAATTCTTGTCTTTACTAATCAGATGATAAAAGACTTCTAATAAATAAGATGTAGACTTTGTTTTCATTTCAATTATGTCTAATTAAGAGGGAGATTTACATTATTTTGCCCCAGGTTATAAATTGTACTCCATTGGCAGTTTTATAACCTGTAATTAGGGTGGTTATCCAAACAAAAGGATTAATTCATGCATGTCATTATAATTATAAATTTTGATCTTTGAAATTAGCTGAACTAATTAATTATTCTACTTTTTTTCAGAGGAAAATTTCCAATATTGCAATTAACTATGTTAAATAAAAATATACCTGTTTTTAATGAGTAAAAACAAAAAAGCTTCTCTAAGTCAGTATGAAAGCAAAATTTTTGAAAACAAACTTGCAATATAAATAAGTGATTGATGCAATGCGATGTCATCTCTCGTTCATGTTGAAAGCCAAAATTTCAAGAATGTTTGAATATTTCTGATCCTCAGTAAGAGATTCCATCTAGAAAACAAATGTCAAATTAAAATTTGAAAACAATGCTCTAAATGCTGTTTTTGGTAAAGTTCTAAATTTCCACTATATAAACGTTGAGCAACATAATTGTGTTTAACTTACTTTATAATTTTTTTTGTAATTTTGTAAAATGTAATTGACAGTAATCGAAAAGTAATGTAATTACTTTTGATAAAGTAATCGATTGCAATTAATTACATACAAAAATCAGAGTAATCGATTATTAATCGATTACACAAAAATCCTTCATGTAATCGATTACATTTGTCAGTAATCGTGCCCATCCCTGATGTGTGACCTCTTAATAACTTTGAATTCCATTTTAAAGTTATGGTATCTCAGAAAGCAATGTGATAAAATATCAAAATATTACACTACCAGTAAAAGAGTCTGTGTGAATTTGATGTTTTCTCAAAGTGGTTTAGAGGGTGTTGCATATTTTAGAAGTGTGTTCCTCTGAACTGAACAGGACTGAAAAACTTATCTTTTCAAATCAAAAATTAAAATGAGATATGTGTAAGCTTAATTCTTCCAAAAGAGTCAGCACATGTTTGATTAGTGTTGGTCAAGTATAGTTGGAGAATTTGGGATTAACAAAAACCTAATGATGCAAGATTACAAAAAATATTCCTGTGTGTCAATTATGAGTTATAGTCAACACAAAATAGGTATCAATGGATAATTTACTTAACATAGAACATAATACTGGACATATTAAAATAGGATGCTTCTTAATTTCCCATTCAAATTGTTTTAGGTTTTAAGGGAATAAATCAAGCCCTACAAAAGACCTTTTTCCTTTTGCCATAAATGGCAAAATTCAGTGAAAAAATATAACGATAATACAACTTTTTCTTATCATGCCTATATACAAGATTACTAAGTAATGAAAGTGATGATCCAGTTGAAATAGGTTTAAACTAATAAAATGTGTTGAGTAGGTTTTTATATATTTATATCTTCTTTTCTTCTTTTTATCCATGATGTCATACATGCCATTTCTATGTAGGAAATGGGGTACAACTCATGTAAACTTTCATTTCTCAATGCTTTGCTCTTGCGCCAACTGGCATTTCATTTGCGCCAAAATAATCTTTCATTTGAGCCACAAATCATATTTCATTTGCGCCAAAATAAAACATTTCATTTGCGCCAATAATACAGGTAAATAGAATTGTCACATTGGCACTCATACCACATCTTCTTATTTATAAATAGTATAAAAATAGTTTTATTCAAAAGAGACTTTTAAAAATAACTTTAAAACACATTTTGATTGCATAATAAAACATATTCCTCCGTAATCAGTCATTGTAACATAAGAGACTTTTCATAATAATGTTAAAACACAGTTCTGTTATAAATCAAAGAGATCATAAAACCTAAGAGAAAGCATTATACACTGGAGTAAAACAAAAAGTTGGTTCTGACACAAGACTTGTAAGCAACTGCTCGGATGTACTCATGCACACTGGATAACCCAATATTTGTGGTCATAAAAAATTACAGACATATTTCTTCTACATAAAAATAAGGATATGTGGTATGATTGCCAATGAGACAACTATCCACCAAAGTTCAAATGAAGTGGATGAAATCAATTATAGGCAACCGTACAGCCTTCAAAAATGAGGAAAAACCCATACCATATAGTCGGCTTGAAACAGTCCCGACATGAAAAATATGAAACAATCCAATTGAGAAAAAAACTAATTTGTCTCAGAATTGACAATGTCCATCTTGACACCTAGCTCAAACATGTGATCACTATATAGATTTAAACCTAAGTGACTCTCAGTTTTATATAGCAATGAATATTTAAACTTTTCCATTATATGTTACCTGTAAAATGGCGCAAATGAAATATAACCTTGTGGCGTAAATGAAAGATTGGATTTTGTAAAAATTGGCGCAAATTCAATGTGCCCTCATTTCTTTATTCTGAGGGCAGTTTTTTAATTCAAGCAAATGCATACATTACAATATTACCTACTTTTTCAGCTACATAACCTTTTAGATATCAAACGATACATTGTCCATTCGACCTTTAAATGCCACTTTATGATGGAGTTTCTGGATATAAAAGTCAATCAGATCTTTAATAATTTTCATATCATGTTTCCTCTTATTGTCATGACAAATTTGTTCTAATGCTATCACGAATTAATATTTTAAAGGAATATAATTGTCTCTAAAATATGCTATGCCCTCTTTTCTAAATGTCTTATTCCAACAAACACTTAAAAAAAAAGAATAAATAAATGTTAATATAAAACTTTATGAACAACTTTATACTCAATACAAAAAAATAAATACCATGATTATTTTTTTTAAAATTTAATATTTTTCGGTAAAATTAGGCCAAGGTTATTAATTACAGTATATCATAAAATCTTAGATACCATATATACTTTTTATATCATAAAATCCTAGATACCATATATACTTTTTATATCATAAATTATTTTTCACAATTCTGCTCTGGTTACTGTCTTTTGGTCGTAAAAAAGCTTCTTCTTTTGGTCATAAAAAAGCTTCTGTCTACATTTGAAAAAAATTCAATGAAGTGTTGACAACGTTATTGATAACTGAAAAACTTTAACCTTAGACTATCTAAAAGCAATGAAAACTAAGCTGAAAAAATATCTAAATCCATTTATCAGTCAAATATGGAAAAATGAAAATAAATATTTTCACAATATTGCTCTAGAAAATTGCCTAAAAAAAATTTAACCAGAGACTGAACCAAAACCAAATAATCTGGGATCCCTAAGTCTCTTTTTCACACATAAATGTCACAGGCTCAACAAATACAAGTTATTTATTCTATGTTGCTTAAATATCTTCTGAAAAATTCAGTCATTTTCATTCCATATATAGAGGTTTATTCCTTAGCTGTAGATTTCCAAGTAAAATAGCACTAATATGCACTACAATTAAAAATTTACTCTCTTGTAAAACTCTGCAAAACATCCACAACAAAAGGCACTAAAATACTATAATTTCAACAAGCATTCTATGGCAATACAGTCCCCTACCGGTTAAAAATTCATTGCATTGGAACAAAATTCTAACTTGATCTATAACTTGTCATGGTGTAAACTATATAGCAAATTTTAAGTCAATATCTTCAAGCCTGACGAAAAAAAGTGTTGATTATTTAAGTGAATTTTTTAAGTCCAAGGACCATAACGCTACACAAAATCATCAGACAGGAACAAAATTCGAAATTGATCTGTAACTTGTCATGATAAAACAATAAACCAAATATCAAATCAATATCTTCAAGCATGAAGAAAAAAAGTGTGGAAAACTGATTTGCCGGACTGACGGACGGAGTGCAAACCTAAAGTGCCCTTCGACTTCGTCGGTACTGGGGACTAAAAAGAAGTAAAATGATTTTCGAACACACATGTTACTATAGATACAATTTCATTAAGATGGTATCAAATGTATTTGACTTGTTAGATAGGGTTTAATAACAATAGGGTTTTTACATACACTATAAAATGGCACTGTTATAATATTAAATACTTAATTTAGTTCCTCTTTACCACTGTTTACGAAAATTTGAAATTCTTGAATGTTTGACATTATTAAACTCTACATTGAATCAAAATTCAAAGTTGAACCATTCCACATCTAATTTTCCTTTGGATCTTGCTCACCATTTTCACAATTCTACAGTGGTATCCATTTCTATCTCAGAGGTTTGAAGGGGTTTTCTTCTCTCTAGGAATGTTATAATCAGTAACATAAAACATCCAAACAGGGCTACAGATCCATTGACCCTAAAGACATTCATCCAGGAACCAGTTGAATCTTTTATCAAACCTGAAATATATGAAACAATCATACTTATAGCACTTTCCGGATGAAGTATGTCAGTAAAAAATTAGTTTTCAGTAAAAATGTATGTAGCCGATTTTAATCATTTCATATGACCATCTTAAGAACATTTGCATCAAATTTCCCTTATATTTCTGCTTAAATAAATATTTTAATATGGGATGATTTAGCACAACATTCAATCATAATCCCATATAATTTTGATAGCAGTTTTTTCTACAGTGCAATCAGGTAACCTTTGAGTTTCAACTTTCAAATTGAATATGGTTAAAGGTCTAACAATGACCAATAAGATGAAAACTGGATGCAAGACTGGCTGTCCACCATGCCTAGAGGCTTACCTTACCATGCCTAGAGGCTTACCTTACCATGCCTAGAGGCTTACCTTACCAAAGTCATATTGTGACAATCACCTTTCATCAATAACTACTAATTCAAAAATTTGTTTAATGAAGATTTGATGCAAGACTGGAGCTCTTATTTGCCTATAAGCTTTTAAGCATCAGTCATAATATCAACTTGACCTCTGACCTCTAAACTTAAAATTAAATAGGGTTCAAGAATTCCCCATGGCCAGGCAATGGATGTTGTCAAATTTAATTGGATGTAGAGATATGACAGAGTTATATATTATTTACAAGATTTAAACTCATGTGATGACCTTGACCTTTTTTTCATGCTCTCTACATGTTACATTTTCTGAATCTTGAAATATTTAATGAAGGAGGTACATTACTTTGATCTGTCCCAACATCTAAAATGACCCAACCTCCAAATTGAGGGACAGACTTCTTACTTCAGTGTTAAGTATGGCATCTAAACCTTGAACTTGATATGTAATTTGGCATTGTTATCTAAAGATCTAAAATCAGCTTAATATCTATATAGGAACAGCAAAAAAAAGTCTACAAAAGTACAAGATTCATGAAATTATACAAGTCCAAGGGCAGTAAATGCATTCCCATGAAAAGTAAGTCATCAGCAAGAAAATGCGCATTAGGACTAAAATCCATTATAATACATTGTTATACACAATATACAAGTCAGCTCAATGTCTTCAGGCATAACCAGTTGAAATGTGAGCTATTGCTCACTAATGATACCACCATTATAAATATTTGGTAAAATAGGTCAAGTGATGGATGTAAAAAGTCATCACATGGTTTAGCATGGTCACATGAATGTCGATTCCAAATTTTAGAAAGACTTGATTAGTAGTTCCTGAGAAAAATGTGACAAAAATTTCATACATTGTGTTAACTTGCTATTAAACTGGAATGTGTACTATTTGGATTTACCAATTTTACATATCCTTACAGTTATCATTGTTTAACTTGAAAGAAACTGAGAAGATGAATGAAATGCCAGCTGTTTTTTTTTATAAAATTTTAATGATTAATCTTCATGGTTACCTGATTCCACTGGATTAATCAGCAACGATAATGATGCAGAAAAAGCAATAAATCCAAAGGCATGTGAAAATTTCTCTAATCCTAAACTGTTGATAATTGTATTAAACAAAACACCATTGTATCCTCCAGAAAAAAATCCATAAATTCCAACAAATATGGCAAGATGGAGAAATGTGCTCATATCTGGAGTGAACACTATTCCCAATCCCATTAGAAAAGTTGCTCCAAAATATATAGTTTTACAGTTATTTGGACACATGTGTGTACACCATCCAAAGAACAGTCTTCCAAATAATTCAGATATGCTGATAATGGCGATGATCATAGCCCCTTGTGTGTCTGTTCCGCCAATTTCTTCACAAAACGGAGGTAAAATATTAAATATACTCAGATATCCAAGCGATTCACAAAAAACAAAAATAAGGTACAGAAGAAAAACAGGATTTTTGAATAGGCTCCAATCAAATATACATAATTTTTTATAAGACCAACAATGACCCTTCTTGTCTAAAGTCTGAGATTCAATAAGAATTCCTCTATTGCTATTATCTAGCCTTTCAAAAGTCTGAGGTATACTCTGCATTGATATACTGGCTACTACACCCAGACTGGCACATAAAGATGGATCATAGGATTTCAGACTAATAACTGATGCTGTAAGACGTTGCTTGTCATCTTTTTTTAACCATATCATCTTTTTTAGAAGTGATTCTTTCTCAGCCTTTAAACTGTTCTGGCTATTACATTCATCACTTAGATTTTTTATTTGATTTTCTTCATCTATTTTATATTTGTCATTGGTAAGGATGGCCTTTAAACTTGTGTTCCCTGCAGATAAATGTCTTCGTTTTCCCTGACTACGAGATTTTGTGACAGGCTTTTGATTTTCAAGAGAAAATTTCTCATTTTCTTTATATTCAAAAATGTTCATCTTGTCTTGGTCATGTTCATTAATTCTGAATTTTCTTTCATCCTCTACTTCATCAGTCTGTGACTCAGTTACTGATTTACTTTTTGAAGCTGATTCTCTAGAAGTAGAGTCAAGAGAGACAACTCCTAAGCTCTGTTTCCGACTAGTCTCACTAAGTGAGGCTACTCCAATACTTTGCTGATCATCAGAATAAATGGATTTTCCCATGACATCAATATTTGAACATACAGATGGGTCAAAGGATTTCAAACTGATCACTGATGCATTTATCTGATTGTCATCCTTCAAGACTTCAATTGCATCGTCATTTTCAGAGTATAATGATTTACCCAGTACTTCAGGATTAGAACAAAGAGAAGGATCAAATGACTTGAGACTGATAACAGAAGCTGTCATTTGTTTTTCCTGCTTAGAACTGATATCTAAACTTAGTTGATCTTCTGAGCACAAGGACCTTGTCATATTTTCTGGATTTGTATACAGAGAAGGATTAAAAGATTTCAGACTAACGATAGAAGCATTAGCCATTTTGTTTCCTCGTTTGGATTTCTTCTGTGCATGCCTTAACAGATATTCCCCCTCTGAAACATAACTATTCTGACTTCTGCCATCGTCTACCGATATATAACTTTTATCATCACAATGAATGAGGTCACTAGCATCTAAAAGTATCATACTTTGTTGATCTACAGACGGTGTCATTTTCTGACTAACCTTTTTCCCATTTCTTTTTTTAATGGGATAATTATTATGTGGTCTGAGTAAACAAGCAAATACACATATGTTGTACAAGATACCAGCAAAGATCATCATACATCCTTTAAGTGACATTACGTCAATAAGATATCTCATAAAATATGGCAGTACTACTGCACCCAATCCTCCTCCTGCTGTAACAATGCCATTAGCAAGTGCTCGTCTCTTGTGAAAATAATGTACAAAGCTCACAACACAGGGACTGAATGAGAAACCATAACCAATTCCTGTAAATGAAAAAATATAACTGTAGTTATGAAAATTTTAACATATGCTTTTTTCAGTAACACAATGTAAGACAAGAGTGCACATGCTGAAATGTCTCACCTGCTTTACTGACCATTGATTCTATCTTGAAGTCTTAAAGGAAAAGGTTTTACTACAGGTATCACATACACTTAACATTTTTAAATATCCATGACAATGAGGTCAAGGTCAGATAAATCCTGTCATATAGACATGTGTACACCTTACAATTATTCCATACACCAAATATAGTAGATCTATTGCTTATGGTAATTGAAATAGAGACCAAAACACAAAAACTTAACATTGATCAATGAACCATGAAATTGAGGTCAAGGTCAGATTATACATGCAAGACAGACATGTACACCTTACAATCATTCCATACACCAAATATAGCTGACCAAAAACACAAAAACTTAACATTGACAAATGAAATAGGAAAATGATGTCAAGGTCAGATGATACATGCTAGACAGACATATACACCTTACAATCATTGCGTACACCAAATATAGTTAACATTGTGCTTACAGTATCTGAGAAATGGACCTATTCATATAACTGTAACCTTGAACACTGATCCATGAAATGAGGTCAAGGTCAGGTGAGCGTGTAAATTTTCCTGTATATTCCCACATTTATCGCTATTTAAGAGTTTCATACATCAATATGCATTAAACTGTTAATTGTCAAGTATACACGAAATTGATTTGTAAACTCTTTCAACCTAAAAGTTAATTAACCTTATATATAAAATGGTTCTTTTGTGATGATCGACAGATGACCAAAATGTGCATATTTGATTAAGATATTTATTTATAATAATTAAATTGGCTATTCATACATGAAATACCTTTTGAAAACACAGCAATCAGTGAAATGTTCAAAAATGTTAATTAGCGACGATATATTTATTATTGTCATAACCCGAACTCACTCCAAATTCTATATATTTTAATTTGTAATACTTGTATTTATTTGTAATCAAGTATCTGTCAGTCAATTAATTACAATACAGTGATTTTTCGCATGTATTTTCCTACTTAGCGAAAATTATACACAGTGAATATTAAACCTGTCCATTTTGTCATCAAATTGTGAAAAAAGCCAACAAGAACAAACCCAATATACAGTATAGTTATCCTATTGCTCGTAATATATGAGAAATTCACATGACAAAATAAATATAATTTTTTTCATGCAGTCACTGAACCATGAAAGTGAGGTCAAGGACAATGGAAATATGACAGTCGGTAACTTTGCAACAAAAGGTATCTGCATACAAGGTATGAAGCATCCAGATCCTCTACCTTAAATAGAAAGCTTTATACAAATAGTTTACGCTGACGCTGCAAGATAGTAGTCCCTATGTCTTGCATACTGCAACTTTCGTCGCAGGCAAGACAAAAACTATACTTGAAACATCTGCATGCATAAATACTATGGAGAAAATCCCATAATTTATACAATGCATTTTTTAAAAATAAATTAAAAAAAAAAACACATATTTTTCAATCAAAGGTGTTCATTCTTTCATTTTCCTCCTAATTTCTTTTTTAATCATGTAATATATCTAAATGTTTTACAAACCTGTGAGACAACCATATGTCAGATAATAGTATTCCAAAGATGGAGCAAAAGCTGTCAATAAAAATCCTGTCCCGCCAAATAATCCACCAACAAAACAGACTGCTCGGTGAGAAAACTTCATACTCAGTGCAGTTCCAACAGGCCCTATAAGGGTAAATAAAAGTATCCTTTAAACAAATATGATAGCTTTGAAAAATCCTTAAAGATGTCCCTACCTTACCTTTTCCATTTACATTTTTTTTTAAATTGACTTTAAATTCTCACCATTTTTGACTTTCAAAATTTTTTTCAATTCTAAAATTAGTGAGACAGTCTCCTAATTTAGTGATGTTTATGTATAACTTTTTAATCTTTTTAATATCCCTGTCAAATGTATCTGAAATCTTATTATTCTATCAATAAAATATAGTTTGAATATTCAACCAAGTATAGTTTGCCTATCTTATAGAAAGATAGAATCTTACTCAAGTACAAAAACTTAATGTTGATAACTGAACCATGAAATTAAATTAGTCAATTGAATCCTGTCTAAGGACATATGCCAGACAGAAATTTCAATGCATGAGGCATCAGGATACTAACTTGTAATATCCCTTTCTTCTACCTTTTGAAATATAAAGTGTAATATACCAGGGTAATTGTTCTTGCTGTCTAAATTGATGACAACCTTTTAGCATTCCTACATCTCCCATTCTGTGACATTTGTCCCAGACAAGACAAAAACATTTCAGCTTTTTATAGCCATTCATTTAACCAAGAATATGACATTATGGACAATAGTTATATGCCAGATCCATACATCATACCATAAGCCATCTATTAACAAAATATGGATTATCCAGTTAACTTTCATTTTGTAAAAAAAAAAAACATTTTACACTGGAAACACTGCTGCAGTCAGATTCACATCTCAATCTCTCCTATTCTGCAGCATTTGCAATAGGCAAAAAAAACCTTTTACTAAATGTTCAATGAAGTACAATTTTTCTATAGGCTTGTATGTATATTTTTTTAAAAGAACGAAATCAAATATCCACAAACATACATGTTTTCCTTAATCCACAAAAAATTGGAAACAATGAAAATAAAGGAATCCACTGTAACTGATGAAAGAAATTTAGATCACAGTGACCTTTTAATGAAAGATAGAGATAATGATGGTTGTATTTTGTTCTTGGTCACATTTTCATAAGTTTAAATATGCTGCCATTTAGAGACATACAGACAGAGATAATGATGGTTGCATTTTGTTCTTGGTCACATTTACAAAAGTTTTAATATGCTGCCATTAAAAGACATTAAGACAATGTCTTACCTAGCCCTAGATAAAAGAAACCAGTTAATGATTGTATAGACCGGAGTTCTTTGTTTCTGAAATTGTGCTCTCTAGACAGTTCAACATATAATACACCAAATGATTTTAGAGATCCAATCACCAATGACTTACCTAGCCCCAGATAAAAGAAACCAGTTAATGATTGTATAGACTGGAGTTCTTTGTTACTGACATTGTGCTCTCTAGACAGTTCAACATATAATACACCAAATGATTTCAGTGATCCAATCACCAATGACTTACCTAGCCCTAGATAAAAGAAACCAGTTAATGATTGTATAGACTGGAGTTCTTTGTTACTGGCATTGTGTTCTCTAGACAGTTCAACATATAATACACCAAATGATTTCAGTGATCCAATCACCAATGACTTACCTAGCCCCAGATAAAAGAAACCAGTTAATGATTGTATAGACTGGAGTTCTTTGTTACTGGCATTGTGCTCTCTAGACAGTTCAACATATAATACACCAAATGATTTCAGAGATCCAATCACCAGGAAAAGAATCATAGAAGCAGCTAAAATAAATGGAAAACAAAATGATATTAAGCATTCTCATTATCATTTTCAAATGCTTGTATTAAATTATTGTGATTGGCTGATCTGTACTTAGTGTCTTTTTGTTGTGGTGATGTATAAGTACCCGTCCACGTCCACTCTGTGTTTTTGTTAGATGTATTTCTATTTGTATCCATCTGATGAGTTAAACCTTTTTCAACTGATTTTTATAGTTTGTTCTTATGTTGTGCTGTTGCACCACTGTCCGAGGCTGGGGGGATTGAGCGCTCACAAACGTGTTTAACCCCGCCACATTCTGTATGTGCCTGTGCCAAGTCAGGAGCCTGTAATTCAGTGGTTATCGTTGGTTCATGTCTGTCATATTTGTTTTTCATAAATTGTTTTGTTATATATTAGGCGGTTAGTTTTCTCAATTGAATGATTTCATATTTTTCATGTTGGGGCCTTTTATAGCCGACCATATGGTATGGGTTTTTCTCAATATTGAAGTCCGTATGGTTGCCAATAATTGCTTACATCCACATCATTTGAACTTTGGTGGATAGTTGTCTCATTGGCAATCATACCACATCTCCTTATTTTTATATTGAAAAGGTAATAAACAATGAAAGTCTTACAAATTATGAGACACTATACCAGATTTTTATTTAAAAGATCACAAATTGTTATAGCATATCTATTGTATGTCTGTGTTTGATACAACTTGTTTGCTGCCTAATGCCATATTGTAACTTAATATATATTTTTTTAGTTGTTTTGATAAAGCATTGTTCATTCTTTCATTTGTTAATTTTTTCATTACAATTGTTCATTCATTCAATCATTCATTCATTCATTCATTCATTCATTCATTCATAACATTTGATTAAATAAGCCTAGTTTAGTGTCCTGTGATTTTTTTATAATTTTTAATAATCTTTCTTTGTATCATTATTTTTATTTTGGTGCTTTCAAATATCATACCAATTAGTCAAATAGATTTTAAAATGGAAATTACCTTAAGTCTGAAATTTAAATATAATTTGTTAACCCTATACAACACATGCATATTCTTTATCTAGTGGTAAGTTTGACTCTGTTAACCTACTAACCAAACACAATGAACCATGCATATCCTTTATCTAGTGGTAAGTTTGACTCTGTTAACCTACTAACCAAACACAATGAACCATGCATATCCTTTATCTAGTGGTAAAGTTTGACTCTGTTAACCTACTAACCAAACACAATGAACCATGCATATCCTTTATCTAGTGGTAAGTTTGACTCTGTTTACTTACTTACAATAAACTGTTAACACAGAGATATGTCTCACCTATTTGTTATTTTGATAATGCAAATTTTGAAATTAAAATAGCAAAACTTTAACATGTTAGTTATGCAAATATTCAAAGTCAATGAACCATGACTGAAGGTACAGGGCTAAACAATCTCCATGGAAATGAGATGTGTCAATGCTAATACAACTGCAAACCAAATACCATTGACTTTTCATAAGTCGTCCTTTAAACAAACCTAAACACAAACATTAACTTGTAAACTATGCCAATACATTTGCATACCGAATATCATTGACTTAACATTAGTGGTTCATCTTAAACTGAACTAATCACAAACTAATACATGTAAACTAAGCAAAAGTTTCAAAGTCAATAGACCATGACTGAGGGGTAGGGACCAAATATTCTCCATGGAAATGAGATGTGCTAATGCTTATACAACTGCATACCAATTATCATTGACCTACCACTAACGGTTCCACCTAAACTGACCTAATCACAAACTAATACATGTAAACTAAGCAAAGTTTCAAAGTCAATAGACCTTGACTGAGGGGGTGGGGCCAAATAATCTCCATGGTAATGAGATGTGCCAATGCTAATACAACTGCATACCAAATATAATTGACCTACCACTAGTGGTTCACCATGAACTAGACCTAATCACAAACTAATATATTGTTGACGCCCCCGCCATCGTCGTCGTTGCCGACGCCAGAACTAGCATACCTATGTCTCGCTTTTTGACTCTGTCAAGGAGAGACAAAAAACACCACAACCCATGGATATCCTTTATCTACATTTGTACAGGTAAATTTTACTCTGTTAACTTACTTACCAAACACTACAACCCATGCATATCTTTTATCTATAGGTAAATTTGAATCTGTTAACTGACTTACCAAACACCACAACCCATGCATATCCTTTATCTACAGGTAAATTTGACTCTGTTAACTGACTTTCCTCTTCGTCATCATTCTCTCCGGCTTGCCCTTTCTCCTTCATACTGCTATTTTTTTCTATTATGACATCTACTAAATTAAAATTTACAAAATTACTGTCTGTTTTCACAACATATATATTAGTCATGATAATACACAAAGAACCATTTTGATTCAAGCTTAAGTTAATTGCTATGATTGTTTAATGCCTTTCTACTAGCCATTAACAGTAGAAACATATTTCAGTATGTCTGCAAAAATATATCAAGATGTTATCATTAAACATTTGGTTATTAATGATAACAATGTTGGCCTTGTTTACCATTGTCCCTTAGACCCAATATGATCTTTATGATTCATGTAATTGTCGTTTAAGTTAGATTAAACAAGTTAAAGGAGTAGGGGCATAAAGGCCTGGTTTTGGCCCAAGAAAATAAAGTTTTTGAGAACTATTTCAAATTTGCAACAACATTTGGAAATGCATTAGTTCAAGAAATTTAAATGAATTACATCAGATTTTTGATGCTATGACGTCACAATTACGTCTTAAAAGGCTCCAAATTCATGAAACCAAAGAAAACTGCTAACTTTATGCAGTTTTCTTTCATTATTTCCTATGTGGAAACATCGTGCGCAAACAAGAAACAACAAAATAATTTAAGAGATGCTTTATTATAACTATTGGCATATTCCATTGTATTTTAATCAAATATAAGGTTGTTTCTTGGGTGCGCACATACTTTTCCAATCTAATACAGACCTAAAGGTTGAGGTAAAACAAGGAAAATCATAAAATTTTACAAAATACACACATTTTGTCACAGTTTGTTGCCATGGTTACTTGTTAAATGTGAAATTTGTTTTTATTTTCTGAACACCTTGAACTTTAGAACCTTGGATAAAGTGATGAATATGTATGGTAAATTTTCAATTTGAACTAATATTTGGGCCAAATAAGGGCCTTATTGCCCCTCCTCCTTTCAATTTAAAAAGGGCTGAAATGTGGGACATAGTTACTGCGTGTATTGTGATAAAAACTGATTTCAACAATTGAATTCCTCCTTATACCTCATAAAATCATTAAAGGTTGAAATTTTTTTGGAAAATTAAACTGTTTGAAAACTAACCAAAGTTAGTGAGGCATTAATCCTCCATAAGAACTCCTACACAGAATTTCATCATAGTAGGTTACTTGATTTTTTAAAACTAAATCCAGATGTAGGTCTGCAGAAAACCTTATAGTCACTGGAGTGAGGAATGTATGTCTGTAAAAAGCCTTAGTCACTGGAGTGTGGAATGTAGGTCTGCAGTAAACCTTATAGTCACTGGAGTGTGGAATGTAGGTCTGCAGAAAACCTTAAGTCACTGGAGTGTGGACTTAAGGTCTGCAGAAAACCTTATAGTCACTGGAGTTTGGACTGTAGGTCTGCAGAAAACCTTAAGTTATTGGAGTTTGGACTGTAGGTCTGCAGAAAACCTTAAGTCACTGGAGTTTGGACTGTAGGTCTGCAGAAAACCTTAAGTCACTGGAGTTTGGACTGTAGGTCTTCAGAAAACCTTATGTCACTAGAGTGTGGACTGTAGGTCTGCAGAAAACCTTAAGTCACTGGAGTGAGGAATGTAGGTCTGTAGAAAGCCTTAGTCACTGGAGTGTGGAATGTAGGTCTGCAGTAAACCTTATAGTCACTGGAGTGTGGACTGTAGGTCTGCAGAAAACCTTAAGTCATTAGAGTGTGGACAGTAGGTCTGCAGAAAACCTTTAGTCACTGGAGTGAGGAATGTAGGTCTGTAGAAAGCCTTAGTCACTTGAGTGTGGACTGTAGGTCTGCAGAAAACCTTATAGTCACTGGAGTGTGGAATGTAGGTCTGCAGAAAACCTTAAGTCACTGGAGTGTGGACTGTAGGTCTGCAGAAAACCTTATAGTCACTGGAGTTTGGACTGTTGGTCTGCTGAAAACCTTAAGTCATTAGAGTTTGGACTGTAGGTCTGCAGAAAACCTTAAGTCACTGGAGTGTGGACTGTAGGTCTGCAGAAAACCTTGAGTCACTGGAGTTTGGACAGTAGATCTGCAGAAAACCGTAAGTCACTGGAGTTTGGACTGTAGGTCTGCAGAAAACCTTAAGTCATTGGAGTGTGGACTGTAGGTCTGCAGAAAATTTCTGAGTCACTGGAGTGTGGACTGTAGGTCTGCAGAAAACCTTAAGTCACTGGAGTTTGGACTGTAGGTCTGCAGAAAACCTTAAGTCATTGGAGTTTGGACTGTAGGTCTGCAGAAAACCTTAAGTCATTGGAGTTTGGACTGTAGGTCTGCAGAAAACCTTAAGTCACTGGAGTGTGGACTGTTGGTCTGCAGAAAACCTTAAGTCACTGGAGTTTGGACTGTAGGTCTGCAGAAAACCTTAAGTCATTGGAGTTTGGACTGTAGGTCTGCAGAAAACCTTAAGTCACTGGAGTTTGGACTATAGGTCTGCAGAAAACCTTAAGTCACTGGAGTGTGGACTGTAGGTCTGCAGAAAACCTTAAGTCACTGGAGTTTGGACTGTAGGTCTGCAGAAAACCTTAGATACTGGAGTGTAGAATGTACATGTAGGTCTGCAGAAGGACCTTGTTTTTTAATTTGAGGCTATTACCATGGCAACTTTCCTTTAGATGCATTCCTATATTAAGATGATATGTTGTACAAATGTAGGTCAACAAGTAAGAATGACCCCTCATTAATGGAATGCTACCACATGCATTATATGTTTAGTTTTACATGTTATATGACAGCCTTGTCCAATTCTTAAATAGACTGTAAAATACCCAAAAGTGTAAATACTTATATGGGGAAACTTAAATATCAATGTCAGGGTACAAATATGTATACCAGTAAAAGCAGGTGTACAAATACACTGAGTTTGATTTTATTCTGTCAAAATTGTGTTCCATTCTTATGAAATCTGTAGGGTATACATGTACTGCACTCACAACCTCAGGGAAAGGAAAGATATATGCAGATTGACAGGATCATCTACAATATGTTCCCTGCCCACATTATAATAAGTACCACTCCTTGCTGCTAACAATATGTTCCCTGCCCACATAATAATAAGTACCACTCCTTGCTGCTAACAATATGTTCCCTGCCCACATAATAATAAGTACCACTCCTTGCTGCTAACAATATGTTCCCTGCCCACATAATAATAAGTACCACTCCTTGCTGCTAACAATATGTTCCCTGCCCACATAATAATAAGTACCACTCCTTGCTGCTAACAATATATTCCCTGCCCACTTAATAATAAGTACCACTCCTTGCTGTTAATACTCACAGTATTGACTGCCATTAAAAGCTTCAGTGTTAACATTTGTCTTATTCCATTATCAAAGTCTCCTTTTCAAAACCACCATCTTAATGAAAAACATGTAGCACTTTTGTCTTTATATTGACAGCTCCATCTTGTATTCTATATATAACAGGGTTGATGCTCTACAAAATACATAGAAATTACCATTAGTGATACTACCTTATTTTAAATTAAAAATTGTTCACTCATCATTAAAACAGATAAACACTAATAAAATTTATTCACAAATTTGATAATTTTTGTTTCAGATATCTTCTATATATATACATACAGTACTTCACAACTGTATGCCATTTAACATGGGGGAAACATAGACATCTGGGTGATCATTCTACAGAACACTTATAATTAAGGACAAATATTGCTCATGGTTAGTAATAGTTGACATTTATTTCCCTCATCCTGTTCACAGCATAAAACTAGATGCTAAATGAGTATAACACTGTTTTCTCATATCTTGAAATAATGGAGATCTGAAACAATAAATCAAAAAATTAACAAAAATCATATGGTTATTCCTTTAGATGCTACAAAAAGCCTGTATCACTAACCTGGCATTTGGGCATAAATGTATACCAGGCCAGGGTTGATTTTAACCTTATCCAAAGTAAGGCCCCATCCACTGTGTAATTTGTGTCACAATGAAAGAACCTTAGTGAGCGCACTCACATACCCCACGTCCCTACATTGTCATTGGAGAAATAAAATAAGTGTAAGAAAAAAAAATTGTATCAGAAAAAAAAATTGAATCATAATTTCCTGTCAATATGCACATCTACATAGTATGTCCTTATTATCTACACAGTTTCATGAAATTCTTATAAGTGGTTTGAGAGGAGTTGCGATGACAAAAGGTTGCAGTAGTATATTGGGCAAATATATATATAAGTTCAAAGGGGCGTAACTCCTGGAAAAAAAATTGATTCGTAATTTCCTGTCGATATGCACATCTACGTAGTATGTCCTTATTATCTGAAAAGGTTTCATGAAATTCTGTTGTGTGGTTTGAGAGGAGTTGCGATGACAAAAGGTTGCAGTAGTATATTGGGCAAATAAGTTCAAAGGGGCGTCACTCCTGGGAAAAAAATTGAATCGTAATTTCCTGTCGATATGCACATCTACGTAGTATGTCCTTATTATCTGAAAAGGTTTCATGAAATTCTGTTGTGTGGTTTGAGAGGAGTTGCGATGACAATCTGTTGCAGTAGTACATTAAAGAAAATAAGTTCAAAGGGGCGTAACACCTAGAAAAAGAATTGAATAGTAATTTCCTGTCGCTATGCACAACTACATAGTATGTCCTTATTATCTAAAAAGGTTTCGTGAAATTCTGTTGTGTGGTTTGAGAGGAGTTGCAATGACAAGAAACAGGACTGACGGACTGACTGACTGACGGACAGACGGTCGGACGGGTCAAAAACATTATACCCTCCGCAACTCGTTGCGTGGGGTATAATAAAGCAGAATTTGGAATTTTTTTCTTCACCAATATAAATCCTTTCACCAGTCAGGGGACTTACTTAAATGAGTGATTTTTAAATCACTGATTCAAGTAACATTGTGTCCACAAATGTTGGAAGTAAGAGTTGTCTTTCTTTAATAATCACATATTTAAGTAGTACAAATAAATCACTAGACTATGTGATTTAATTTTATTGTAGCTTTAAAAATATAATACTAATGATCCAGGGACAAATTATGTTGCTAAAATTATCAGAACAAACATCTGTGTTGATAGGATGACTGGTCATGTCAGGTGATGACCTTGTACTGAATCTGGGATAATGACATGAAAATCACTTGTATCATACCTCTATTTTCTTCCAAAAAATCACTTCTTTAAGTATTATTATTTTAATTACCCCCACTAATTTCAACTTCCCCGAACAGTGAAATTTTGATCGCGAACAGTAAAATTTTATTACATAATCTGTAAGACGAAACCTTGAATTTTACAGGAAAATTACTCCCACTGTAGGGAAAAATCTGTTAAGAAAGTATCAGTTCATTATGTAAAGCCTTCATTATAGCATTTTATCAACAAATATGGAATTAACAGCTAAATGATTACATCAAAGGCATAAACCTTGCTATTTAAAAGAAGAACAAGAGGCTGTCAGAGTGACAGCAAACCGGATTTCCTGCAGAGGTCAAACCCTGAACAGTTGAGCAAGTATGGACACTACATTTAAGCTTAAAACAGCTCTGAATTTGGATTGTGATTGAATATTTGACACAGCATAGGTTTGTGACACAAAATGAATGTGGTCAAAGAACTGAGAAAATTTGAAATTGGACATTTACCTATTATGGTCCAATATCCAAAATCTAAGTACATTGTTAGAATCAGCATATCAAAGAACCCCAAGAACTCAATTTTTGATGAAATCAAACAAAAGTTTAATTTAGAACCCTTTGGACCTCAATGTGGACCAATTTGATAAAGGAGCCCACAATCTAAAATCTCTAAATACATGGTTAGATTCAGCATTTCGAAGAAACCCCATAAATTCAGTTTTTGTTGAATCAAACAAAGTTTAATTTTGGACCCTGATTTGGAACAACTTGAAAACTGGGCCCAATCTAATATTTAAATACAGGTTTAGATTCAGCATTTGAAAGAACCCTATATATATTTAATTTATGTTGAAATGAAACACAGTTTAATTTTATCCATATAATTTTCTGTTCAAAGGGAAATAACTCAAACTGAATAAATTATAAACACATAGTTCTCTAAAATTAGATATGATTTAACCACTATTTTCTTAAATTAGATATGATGTTACACAATGTATATCTATTTTCAAATTATAATCAAATATAATTAATAGTTCCAAATATTTTTTCTTTCATTTGTCACAAACTAATATAGATCTGCAACTTATCTATCAATGTCAACAACTTTATCTACACAGTGTAATGTAATGAAATATATCCTTTAATAAAAAAAGATTATTATCTAATTAAAGAAGTTCACTTCATCAAAAAAAAATTATATATATAGCATTCATAAAATTAGTTTATACAGAATAACAAACAAACCTACCACAAAATTCTTCAAACAATTTACCAAAGAAAAGAAAAAAAAATCCAAAATGTCATTTATCATTCATACAACAGTCAAGGGTCTAACTTAAATAAGTTATTAGAGAAAAATAACATACATTTGTTATTGAGGGCTAAAAAATCAAAAATCTGTAATAACATATGTATGTTACATGTTTCAAAGGGGCATTATACATCCTTAATTTTGTTAAATTGTGTACTAGTTCTATTGATATTATAATTGTCTTTATGTATATTAAACTTTAGAAAGATATAACAGCCCATAGTTTGCCAATCATGCATAACACACCCATGTTATCACAGAAAAAATATGCCTGTAATAACTAAAGGGTGTTATTACAGCTTCTCTACATCTCTTCAAAGCCTTTTCTCCTACATATATCATAATGTATTTTAATTTATTGTAATAAATAATGATAAGAGCATGTAATGAGGTTCTGCGCAAGCTTCCTAGTCATTCCCAAGTGTCTCATGTAATAAGTTAAATGCCTGTAATACCTAAGCCTTGTTATTACAGCTAAGTTATCACTTAAAAGCCTTGTCTCATTGATTTACAATGGTTGATCAAAAATGTATTAATTGAATTGGAAAATTAGTTTTCAAGGTTATGTATTAAGGTACTGCGCAAGTTTCAAGAATTCCCAAGTGCCCACTGAAAATAAAAAAATTTATGGTACATTTAACTGATAACAAACATATGTTACTACAGATTAAGAGAAAGTATCCGTAATAACACATGTATGTTATTTTTCTCTAATAACTTATTAAAGTTACACCCTTGACTGTACAATGTCTTTTAAAAATCTTTTAAAAAATGAGTTATTTCCCTTTGAACAGAATGGAGTAATTAATAAGAATTTCATCAAAATTGATTTCTTGGGAAAGAGCTATAACTCAACAACGAAAAAAGCTAAAATCGTGAAAATTGAACTTGACCTTCATTTAGTTCAGGAAACAACATATCTAAATTTGAAAAAATTTCGTCAAAGCGTTTTCATGTTAATGACAGAGAGTGTTTGGCAGCCGCCCGCCTCCCCTCCCGCCGTACATCCCCAAATCAATAACCGATTTTTCTTTCGAAAATCCGATTAAAAAGGTTTATTTTTTCCAATTTTACTAATAATAAGATATAATCTAAACCTATATGTTCAAAATTTTGGTAAAACTACAAAATCACAATTTGTGACAAAATTTCGAATTTGCTACACTTAAATAAGTGATTTTTAAATCGCTTATTTCAGTAATCCCCCTGACTGTTCACCATCAAATTTTGATTATTTAACATGTTTAAGCAGGTCAACAACAATTTTAATTATGTAAATAGCAACTTAATTGCTTACTACCACTTTATTTTAACTCTGGTGGATTGGTGCATTACATATATGCACGGATTTGCATTACATTTGTGTAAAAAAAATGTTACATTTGAGCAAGAAATATCATTACGTTTGCACGAATTTAAAAATAGTAATTTACAGGTAAATATGACATTTACTAACTGTTTTGTCCCTGTCAAGGGTACTCATCAGGTGGCTTTATATAAACATGTACAAATATTTGGACATGTATATTATATGTTGGCTGCTAACACATTAATATTCACATTAAAGTGTTAAAACTATACTGAGGAAAGCATGGAAAGAATAAAATCACATTATAGATTCGTAAAACATAAATACTATATAGAACTAAAATTGTTCAAGTCATGTCCTTCATACATCAGTGCCTAGCAGAGTATTTAAATCCAAGACCTGAAATATAATGTAGATTGTCATCGTCCCCAGAGTCTTACAAGATTTTGACGAACATCTCCATGAAATTCTCCTGACTTTAACGTATTGTCAATTCTGTAAGTAAATTCATCATACAGCAAGGATTTCTTCCTTCTATTTGTTAGCAATAGTTCTAGTTCTCGTTCCATCACAAACGTACTTATTGTCCAAATGACACAAACATATTGAATGGATATTTGCTCAGTGAAATATATAATACGACTTAACAGTGAATTGTATTTACTAGCATTGTAAATATACAATGTAATAAAGATCTAGGT